ATATAGTGCTATGAATTTTTTCTCAATGATCTAAGCAGGGAAAATGAAAAGTCAACAGCTTTTAGGGTTACCAACACCACCCAATATTTTTTAGCTTCATCTTTCATATCTAGAAGTTTAAAAAACACTGGTCTAAAACTGTGACTATTTTTTTATTTATTTTGAGAGTGAAAAAAACATACTGGACCACATAGGTATTTCTTATATTCAGGTACCTTAAAGACATGGATTCAGAAACATTTTTACACTGCTGTGTAACCACTGTGTAAACTTGTAACTGATTTTTAATAAAATACATGTAAGTATGTGTGTGGATTTCCAAATGAGAATTTTTTCCTTAGAAACAGTCACCTTGCGAGACCTAGTCATGTCCGTCATTTATTTTTGCGCTTCCAAAGAGGCCAGGCAGACCCACCGGAAGTCCTATAGTCAGTGCTGAGCACAGGTTTTAAAGTGGATACTCACTTACAACTTAAAACCCATATCATATGAAGAACTAAAGGAAAGTTACCTAAAGCAAAAGAGGACAAACATTATTTTTGCAACCCAGATGAGCCTTAGGGGATAAGATACAATAAGGAGGTTCTCTATTTTATATACGGAAGAAATTTATATTATAATTCTCCAAATGAAGACCTTCACATCGCGGCAATTCATATACTTACATGAACTGAAAAGGGGACTTACTCCAAATGATTTCTTTAGCATACACACCTCACATGCTGATTTTCACACTGGATGTCATGGTACCTTTAGGTTCTAAGTTCTAAATGGTCAGGGATCGACTATTCTAAGGATATTTCTTAGAGTACCTAGCACACTTTGGCATCTAAGTTTCCTGACCCTGACACACTCACCATGAGCTGGTCTGTCATCTCAACCACCTTGTCCACTGTATGCAGCTCTCGGAGGGCTTGCTGAGCCCGGCTGCTGCTCCCCACGGCAGAAGCCTGCTGAAAGTTGGTCTGAATGGCATCCATGAGGAAATTGAGCATGTCTAACACGAGAGGAGCGAAGGAGAAATTGGCCTGAGAAAAATCCAAATACACAAATGAAAAAAAAAAAAAAAGAAAGAAAAATAATGGGTCATACTCATCATTAATAATCTTGCCAGTATCTACCCTCAGAATCCATTATGGAGAATCATCTCATTCCCTCCATAACATTGGATTTGATTCCAATCCGTATGTCACTATGCTATTAACTCTAGAGCAGCGGTTCTCACCTGTGGGCTGCGACCCCTTTGGGGGTCGAACGACCCTTTCACAGGGGTCGCCTAAGACCATCGGAAAACACATATATAATTACATATTGTTTTTGTGATTAATCACTATGCTTTAATTATGTTTAATTTGTAACAATGAAATTGGGGGTCACCACAACATGAGGAACTGTATTAAAGGGTCGCGGTATTAGGAAGGTTGAGAACCACTGCTCTAGAGCAATCTTTCTAAACCAGGAGTCTCATGTAGATACCCTAAAGCTCGATCATGTCCATCATGCATAATTAGTTAACTTCTCTCCTGTGAAACTAGAATGGTTCTAGTTATGTGCAATCCTTAGGAAAATTGACAAAATAATCACTCAAATCATGTTCTGTATTCTATGCTTCAGATGAGGAACTCTGGCCGAGAAGGGGTGCTCTAGTGTATTACACAACTAAAAACTACCCTCACACAAACTCCCATAATACTCAGTGATACATCCTTCCCTAACTGGTATGCCTGACAACATATACCATTTATTCACACTGTGGAAATAAGAGAAAGAGGAAATAGCTCCAAGTCCCACCAGTGGAGCTGCAAAAACAGCCTTGTCCATTGTTTGCTAGTGAACCACCTGCCAGGCTCCGCCCTCTGCCCACGGTGCCGGGTGCCATCAGAGCCCACCTGGTTCTGCAGCTCCTCCCGGCAGCCCTCCACTGTGCGGCACAGGCTGCTCTTCTTAGGCTTCTCCTCATCAGCAACCTTGCCATCGCTGATGGTGACTTTGGCCTTGTCAGCTGGGGATGTGCTGGCGTGGCGCACCAGACTCTCTGAAACCCTGGGTTCACTCTGAAATGCTGACTCCTTCATGGTGGAACTCATGCCACTGCTAGGTGTTCGCTTCACCAGCGCCTAGGGACAAAAAATATCAGAGGCCCTAAGCTCTCGCCACAAGCACAGATGAAATACTGCCTAAGATCCTGGAGGGAAATCTGACCCAAAGGAGAAATTGGCTAGCCACTTAAAAGATCCAAAGGCCTGCCCTGACCGGTTTGGCTCAGCGGATAGAGCGTCGGCTTGCAGACTCAGGGGTCCCGGGTTCAATTCCGCTCAAGGACATGTACCTTGGTTGCGGGCACATTCCCAGTGGGGAGTGTGCAGGAGGCAGCTGATCGATGTTCCTCTCTCATCGATGTTTCTAACTCTCTATCCCTCTCCCTTCCTCTCTGTAAAAAATAAATAAAATGTATATTTTTTTAAAAAAAAGATCCAAAGGCCTGAATCTTCATGGTATTCACCTAATATCTATATAAAAATTATGCAGAGCAACTGGTCTTGATTATAACATCTGAAATTATGGAGAGGGTCTTAGAAAAAGGTTGCAAGATCTCAAATGACCCTGGAAGTTCTAACATTCTAAGTGAAGTGCTTAAGCCATGATCAGTGACAGAATCAGACTTTACTCCTAGACCCAGGTCACCAGGAAGGTGACATGAGAATTTCCCAGTTTGGCTGAAGCATTCCCATGTCACTAACAAGCCGCCCTTTTTAGCCCAGAGAATGCTCCAATCTCTCACCAAACAGCTGCCATCTTCCTTGGCTCCACAGTCACAGAAGAAGGATCCGTATTTGGCATAGGAAATCTCGTGATCCTTGTGGCATACCTTGGCACATACTGTGCACACCCCCACCCCATCCACCATTTTGCAGGTGTGGCAGTGGTACCTACAAAGAACAAGAACCAGCAAATGAGCTCAGAAGTCCCAACAATCAAGGCCTGGCAAACCGTCACCTAAAAAGAACCACTCTTACCAATGCTGGTTCATGAATTCTTTCTGAGTGATGGTAAAAGTGCAGAGTTTATTGCAAAGAGAATCTTCATCCTTCAAAGATAATAAGACCTTTTAATCAGACCTATATCCCTCCAGACACCCAGAAAAACACAGTCTATATAAATAGTTGACTCTAGGAAATGGCTTGCAGGCTCTACATGTGCTACAATGTCAGGTGAGACCTTAGAGTTTGTGGTTAAGAAAAAGAGAAATCGTATGCTTTCTCTACTAGGGGGCTCACACCATTCCCATGAAGAACTCATCCCAGAAACTCCATTTTGGATGCAAAAACTAAGGAATAGCAGAATTAATGACTCTGGATGGAAGGCAGCATATGTTTATTAAATAGTCCTTTCCCCCAAGAAATTAGGTCCCGACAGCTTGCTCCACAGGCCTGGAGAAGCATTCTGGCATTAATCACATAAACTGGGAGAAAGCTATAGGACTATAAAGAGTTTTGAGCCTTGACCGGTTTGGCTCAGTGGATAGAGCGTCGGCCTGCGGACTGAAAGGTCCCAGGTTCGATTCCGGCCAAGGGCATGGACCTTGCTTGCGGGCACATCCCCAGTAGGAGGTGTGCAAGAGGCAGCTGATCGATGTTTCTCTCTCATCGATGTTTCTAACTCTCTATCCCTCTCTCTTCCTCTCTGTA